CCTGTTTTCTCAGGACCTTTGTAGGCTTGGAGGTCTCTTCTGGGCATCCTCAGCTGTTGGAGCTGGTCTCAGGGGTGGACAGAGTTATGGAGGAGTTTGATCTCCCAACGTTCTACAAGGTAACTGGCTCTCCGGTGTCTTCTCCCTCTTCACCTCGGGTCAAAGCCAGAACTCTTAGCTGACCCCAGCTTTAGTGTTGGAGGGTAGCAACTCTATGAAGGATTTAAATTTCCAAATCCCAAATAAAAGAGAAAGAAAAGGCATAATCTAGTGTCCGTTCAAATACTTGCCATGTCTTCTCTCCACTTCTTTAACTAGGGAACCTGGTTTTCTGCTCCCTTGTCATTCTTATGTCCTGTTTTTCCCATTGGTTACCACCCCCCAGTCATTAATTACTGCCTGCAGCAGCATTAAGAGTTCAAGGTCCAGCAGTCCTGAGTGAGGCCTTTGCTGGCAGTTAGTGACTGAGTGTATTGAAGGTCTGAAGTCACTGATTACCAACAATAATCAAATTGGAGATGATTATTGCTGTGTGAAAGCAGAGCTTGCACTGACCTTTCATTTCTGGATTACATCCAGCCCAGACCAGCAGTGCTTTAAAGCAGTACCATATAGTAGCCTGTCTGTGAAATGTGTGCCCTTAGTCTGAGTCCAGGACTTAAGGCAGGAGTAAGCATTATACAAATCACCCCAAAACAGATGGTAGCAGAGAAGGCAAGGGTTGCTGTTGAATGGGTGAGAGAGTCCTACCCTGCTTAGGTTTTAGGCACACTGACAGGGCAGTGTAAAGGAAGTGGCACTGCTGGTGCTCATCTTGGGGACAGTTCCCTTAGTAGTCATTGGCATGAAATTCACCTGTTGTGTATTTTAAAGAAAATCGAATCTCTTTCTGAGCAGAGTAGGGCACTCGCTTCTGTCTTTGAAGTGTGATACATGCCCAGAGTGGTCGTATCCAGCCCACTCTGTCTTCAAGAGAAGCCCATATCCCTGTAGAGAGTCTCTCTCCACATGCTAAGAAACCACCTTGCATTGCTGAAAGAAGCTAGGGAAAGAGCCCTTTGCTACTGATGTCAGAGGAAGATTGGAGCAGGGAAGCTGGGAGTCAGGCTTTGATTTCTGATGTCATATCTAATGCTGATTTGCATTAGGTCTCTGCTATAAAGTCACAATAATAATGTACGATAATACTTCTCAGCATGAGGCTCTACTTATTTTTGCAAAGGGTTCAGAGGTCCTGCGCAGTGCTGCAAGTCTCAGACTTTACAGCCCCCATGTAATTCCTTTGCTATTCATTATGCCTCATTTCCATACAGAACCCCTCATTCCATATCAGCCTGGCTTGGTGTGTCGGAGACCTGACTGACAGGTTGGAAGGGCAGTGTCTCCAGAAGCTTCAGGTAACTGCTCATTCCAGCATCTTTTGAGGTGAAAGTAATGCAAATGATACCCAGCCAGATCTCCCAGGGTGTGAGAGGATGGGGGAGATGCAGGTAACATCCCAGCTGTGTCACTTCAGTGAGCAAATCGTAAACCTTACACAGTGAATTGCCTTGGAGGGAAGAGTCTCTTCAGGTGGAACTGTCCTTCCCCAGCATGTGTTCCCCTTGAGCCATATGGACACTAAAGCTGTCCAGCCACTAATGCTGCCTTATCTTTGCATCTCTAAATTACATAAACCATGGTCTTTGTGCTTTGGAGGCCTGACTTGAATCTCTGGCAGCCTAGTGGCCTTGCACACACTGACCCTTCCCTTCCACCGATTGTATTTTGCAGGAGATTGTGGATGGGTTTGAGGACTCTGCATTCCTACTACGAATCCAGTGGGAGCAAATCCGCTGCAAATCCGGGAACAAGTTGTTCTCCTTTCCCTTGAGGTAGGGAGCAGGAAAACCACATATTCCAGCTGCCCCAATGCCTGGGCTCTGCTCCTGAGACAAGAAATCAGTGCTGCACTGTGCAACTGGACAGTTTGAAGATTCACATGTATCCTGAGTTGCTGATCTCAGCTCATCATCCCAATGGAGTTTGGAAGCTCAAGCCAGGCTGCTTTTAGTTGTTGCTGGCCCAGAATGTGGATATTTGCACTATGATTCCTCACAGTTGCTGTTAGCTTGGGGTGTTGTTCATGAGCACAGGTAGTTTAGGTTTTCCTATAGTTGTCAGTTATGCTGTGGGGATTTTTAAGCCCTGTTTATCTTCTGGGGAACTGAAAATGTTTGTGGGAGGGCATTTGCTAAAAAGAAGAATGTAGGGCACTACATTGCTATGGGGATATAGAGCATAGTTGCTGTACTGAGCTTGGAGCTTTTAACAGCAAGATGAGGGTTGCTGAGTTTTATCATTCCCATGACAGACGGTCACAGCACCTCTCTGCATGTAGCTGATTGGAACAGGTTCCCTTATAAAGCTTTATTTTTTTTCTACTGTCAATGCTGTAGTTGCTATATGGATGCAATTCAGCATCTAATCCTCATTCCAAATTGATGTGGAATTAGAGCTGGCAAAGATATGGAAGTTCCATGACTCAGTGCTAGTCAGTGAGACTCCAGGATGGAATTAATAGGAAGTGTTCAGTTTAAACTGATCCACAGACTCTCTGAAGGGTGAGGAAGGGCAAAGGCACAGATTTCAAATATTTTCCCTGGGAGCTCTCTCTAATATGAATCCTACTGTTATACTGTAAAGTGTCCAAAAGAGGGCAATGTTGGCTTTCACCACCAATCCTTTACAGCAGGGAACTGCAGATAGCAGAATGTGGTAGCCCTTTGATCATCCTGGAGTCTAGTGAGCTTGCTGCTGTTTAGTTCCATTTGGGTGCACCAAAAACATTGGTCTCCGGGGCTAATGTCAACTTTCAGCTACACTGTTTGTCTTCAAATTAAAAAAGCAATTTTTTTTTTTTTTGTAACAACAATTCTGGATTCTCATCTGAGCCTCAGTCACTGGGAAATCCCCTGCAGGCAATATATTTGTTTTGAGATGATGGGCTTTTGCCTCCCAGGTATTGTGGATGGAAGTTGGTATGCTGTCCAGTATCTTTTGCTTTGCGTTTGTCTATTAAAAGACCCAGAGAGGCTTGCTTCTTAGCATTGGCACCTGCCTTTTCGATGGTGTAAAGCTGTTTTCTCAGTGCATTATAGGCAGCTAGGGCCTGATTTTTTTCAGTTCTCAGCTCCTGCAGCTCCCATTGTCCTCCAGAAACCCTCCCTAGTCCTTCTCTCCAGCATGACATCAGCTGGAGGATGAAGTCGCTGGTCAGAGCATAAAGACCAGAGGCACTGAGCCTGTCAGAGGGGCTTTAGCGCCCTTTAAAATATCTGTGTTTGGATGCCCTTTGTTTTATGAGCTTTATATCTATCGCATATCATTTTAAAACTGTAATTGGATCCCTAGGGGGAGACGAGGGATGGCAGATGGAAGAAAATGTTTAAAAGTTTGTAGTAAAAAAAAAATAAAAATCTAAAAATAAATAACTTTCTACTTCTGCTTCCTGTCCTTGTGACTGATTTTTTAAAATAGACACTGGAGTCTGTCTGTCTGAGCACTCCTTTTCCTTAAGACAGTCACCTGGCTGTCTCAGCAGCTCAGCGCTGGCTGGAGTTGCTGCTTCCCCCCAGAACAGAGCAAGGTCCCTTATGACCCAAGGGCAAATCCTAAGCCTATCGAAATCTCTGAGTTTTGACTTCAGTGGGGCTGAGATTTTGCAGCCAGTGTGCAGTTATAGCAGCTGCCTTCATTGGAAGATACTTGAGCTTTTTTCTTTTCTAAATGCTCTGCCAGATACCTGGATCACTTTACCATCTGTTCCCAAACAGCACTCTCTCTGTTCATGGATATTAAAAATGTCTACGTATCCCTTCCCTTATAAATAATGTAATAATTGTATTTTTTAAAATCTTGGTTAATTGAGCTGTTTTTCCATTTTTAGCATGGTGTAACCTGCCATCATGATTTGTATCAAGCTTGTCTCCTGCAGTTACAACCCATACACATGGTGTGCTGTGACTTACACCGTGATATGGAATTTCATTGTTAATGCTGTATGTTTTCATAACCACAGGTTCCCTGATGCAATGACCCTAGGAGGGAAGGAGGCTGCATCCAGATGCACTCAGCTGTAACTGCTGTGGGTGTGGGTGGTACTTTGTCCATTTCAGCAGCCTATCCTATGAGGATCTTAAGAGTGCTTTATAAGATCCCCTTGCTGCTGCACACATTGGTAACCATAGCCATAAATTTACACCTAGAGAAACTAAGGCTTTTGTGTGAGTGATTTCAACAAGGTTTCCCAATGAGTCAGTTGCTGAACTGGAAGTTCTACCCCAATGGCCAGTCCTTATCTGTATTTCCATAAGCCTGCTTTCCCCCTGATGACACAAGCCCCAGTTGGGGAGTGGGTGGCATTTTGTCTCTGAATTTGAATGAAAGTCATTTGCAAAAGTATCTTGGGCTATTACATGTTTCACTTCTATAGATTTCCAGTGAAGCTCAGTCTCCTAAAAATATGTGCTTCTGCTTTGTGTCCATAAGCAGAAGGGTAATGCTCACTCAGTAACCATGGCAGCTAACAGTGTTGTTTCCCTGGTCAGAAGACTAAGTTGGCACATAGTACCTTTGCATTGCTGCATTTTGCAGTTCAGCCAGAACGCCCTGTCCATGCCTGTGTAACTAAATTGGCTAGTCCTCTATCCTCCCAGTACCCTGTGGAATAGGACATCCCAAAGTGCATTGCCCACTGTGTTGCTGGGGCTTGCCTGCATGTATATCTCTTTGGCACTCTCACCTCTGCTAATGGGTCACTATAGGATAGTTGCCTGTATTTCTCAGAATGCAGGAATCCAGATACACTTAAGCAATGTAGTAGGTGCCTGGGGAGCACGCTTGGCACAAGGTTGTTTTTTGGGGAAAAAAGCCTTCTGTTCTCCATGGTGAACTCTGTTTGTACCAGCTGGGTCAGATCGTGGCTGCAAACGTACATCTGCTCTTGCAGTGTAGATGAAGCATTAGGAACCACAATGAGGGAGCTAAGCCACTGTTGCGGGGTTGGAGGGAGATAAGGTCATCTGCCTTAGGGTAGTGGGGGCCAACTTTTTGGCAGGCATGCTAGAGATTAGCCACTGCTCTCCCCAAGTGCCACTCTAATCCCCTTCCCCTGCCCAAGCTATTGCTCTGCTTTCTGCTCTCTGCCCTGTGCTCCCTGCCCAGTCATTGTTTGGCTTCCTGCTCCCTACCCTGATCTCCCTGTTGCTCTGCTTTCTGCTCCCTGTCCTATCTGCTGCTGTGTTGCCTACTCCCTCCCTGATGTGCCATGTACAGAGTTTATATATGCCGCTTGTGGCACATGTGCTCCAAGTTGGCCACCCCTGGCTTAGGAGATGCTAAAGTTCTGTGTCCTGATTGCCTCTGTGCTCAAGCAGCACTTCTCTCACCATCATTTGTGCAGGGGTCTTTCCAAATACTTCTGTGTTTGTGCAGTTTCCTGCCCCCCTGCAGGGATGAGGGAGTTTCTTCCTCCTCTGCTTATCCTTTTCCATTTGACAAACTCAGATTGCCTTCCCTACCAGCAACTAGAGCATGAAGGGACTGCAAACCTTGCACTCTCCTTTCTTTCCTTGACTGTGCTGACATCCCTAAGGCTCTGCTGTAGCTAGACACAGAGCTGTTTAGTCTCAGGAAGTGTCTTTCTGCAGCCAGCGGGGGGAAGACTTACCACTGCTCCAGGGCTGACCACTTTTCCCCTGAGCATCTGAGGTCCACAGAATTAACTGGCCTTTCAGCCAAAGGATCTCAAAGGTGAGATGGAGACATGGCCTTTATGGGTGTTCTTCAAGCTCTCAGTCAAATAGAGTTAATGCCATTGAAAGTAGTGCAGATGTTCTGGATTTACGCTAGGGGTGCTGAGCAGAGCCCAGCATTGGGTGCACAAGGTGCATATAATTGCAGATTTAGGCTGTTGGCTTGGTACTTTCAGAGCATTCTACTGGAAATATCACTTCCTTAAATGGCTCAGCATATCTTATTTCCCCATTCTGCTGACAATATGTGAGTCTGGCATGCAGGAAGACAAGGCCCTTCACCCAGAATTTGAGGGCACTCCATTCCTTCTCTTGCCATATGCACCTTCCCCCACTTAGGCTATGTCAGCATTTAATAAAGTATAATGGGGCCCCAGCAGCTCCCTGGGAAGGAAGAGGTGGTTCTCTCTGCTGTTGGAGTGGATCATTCAGCTACTTGGGAAGTCCTGCCAAGGTTCACAGAACCTTGCTACAGCCATGTGTCTTATACGAAGGCATCATCCAGGTACTGATGGAACTGCCCATGCTGTGTTTACCTGAAAGGTCCACCATGCACTAAGTCGGATACTCATAGTGGCTGCAACCTCACCATGTTCTTCAGGAACTGAGCTCTGAGTGCATTTGGATGAAAAATCACAGCACCTTCACCCCTTGAATTGGCCTTAGGTAGGACGGCTTAGGGGTAGGGGTACACCTGGAATGTGTTTGGCCCCCAGGGAGCATTTCCTGGGAGTGAATAGTCTCACAGGCTGAGATGGCACAGCAACAGTTCAGTGCTATGTATAAGCAACATGGATGTGTTGTGAGGCATAGTCAGCGTCTGGTGACTTGGGCTTCCAAATCTCAGCTTTCATTTATATTCACAGCATCAGGCACTGCCCTAGCCCCACCCCATCCGCTGTCTAGTGTGGGCCCTGCCCTAAGCAGAGTTTCTGAGACCTGAAAAAGCAGAAAGAGCCATGGGTTCCAGAAAGGCCCTTGGGACTTGTGTTGTCAGTCTCCATGCCACATGATTTCTGCTCTTGGATCATAACTGAAATTCCTCTTCCCCTAAGTGCATTGTCAGATGCCCCTCTGCTCAGGAACAGTGTGCTTTTCAAATATACCTTTGGTATTTCCACACTGAAAGTCAAACACACCAGCGGCTGTTCTTGGAGAGGGGACAAAGTCCAGACAGTAGTTTGTATTGGACAAGCCAGGTGTATTACATATGGGAAAACAGCATCTGAAAAAAATCTCTTAAAGCTAGAAAGGCAGACAAGGTTCTTTCCTTGCTACAACCTACGCCCCTTAAAGCTAGAAAGCCCTTTTTTCAGTTCTGCCTTATCTCATGCAGCCAGGTGCATTTCAGTACCTGAATATAATTGTTCCAACCTTTTCAAGAAAAGGTGTATTTAAGAGACAGCACATTGGGTGACACATTTTAGCTTATGCTGGGCACTTCTGCATCAAACCACAACTGCTTTGCAGCCCTGTTCACAAAAGTGACTGCTGCTTTCTTTATATGTTAATTTTTAGGTGCCCAGTTTGAGACACTGCCAGAGGGAGTGAACATTTACCAGCTGCCTTCACCTGGATCCTTGGAGGCTCAGCACCTCTGAAAATCAAGCCCCAGATCTCTCAGATCAACTGAGCTTGCTAGAATCAGCAGCCAGTGTTTAATTGTTTTGACCAGAGCTTTCACTGGTCATATCTGGTTTCACCTGTTCCTCCACAGCACTGAAGTCTCTGTGCTGTCTGTGTGCACATGGGGCTCTCTCTACCTGACTTGTCACGAGGGTGCACATGTTAGCAGTGTGCGTGTGTGTGCCACTGGCAGGGAGCAGAGCAATCACTGATCTCTTCACAGTCAAGGGAAAATTCCAAGCTCCTCCTCTCGAGGCAGCTTCAGAGGGGCGGGATGTCTTTATTATGTTTGTGAGAAACTCAGAGGCAAGGCGGAAGGGATCTGTATTAGACTATAGGTTCCCTGTGCAGCTGCCTGCCAATAAAGCCTCAGTGAATGGGGTGTGTGGGGGTGCCAGGTGTAACTAGGGGGCTGAGGGTGGGAGCATGATGGGGGTGTGTGATATGTGTGCTGGTGTGTCAGGTGTGTGAGGGAGGTATGACGGTGTATGATGGTGTGCGTGATGTGATGGGTTTGTCAGTGTGTGTTTGTGATGTTTGTGTGATGGATTGTGTATAACGATGTGTGTGGGTGTGTGCACGCGTGTGTGATGCTGGGTGGAGTTGTGTGTGTCCTGGCTGTGTGGTGGGGCGGAGGGGGTGGGGTGTGTGCGTGTTTCCAGCCCCCGGGGGTGCGCGCGGCGCGGGGCCCGGGCGGGCGGGGCCGCGTGTCCCCGGGGG